TGGCCAATGATGGTCTCAGATATTTTCTCTAAAGATAACCGGGACTTAGCTGTTTGATCTTCATCGCGCTCAAAGCGGTTGAGCTATCAAAAAATAGTGCCCAAATAATTAACACATTCACGACAATACGACTCACTGGTGGGTTGTGAGTGTCCTGTTATTTTAAAAAATACGGTTCACTGGTTGGATATGTTTTCTTCTTGACTTTGCTAGCTTACGACGAAACTTCTCAAGCAAATGAGTGGACTGTTGTACACATTTTTTTTGGGATACTTACTGAAATGCTAACACTTCAGACCACAGGACCCATCAGTGACCAGAAAATAATACGCAAACTCAATATTGCAAACTATCTGGTCCGAAATGGCAACCATCGAAAAAGCGGCCGTGTCTTGAATGTGTTAGTTTAGTTACAAACACTAGAAAATTAACAATTATGCATTTTACTTCCTCTGGACTTCCTCTCTCCCCCTAGAAAAGTCTTTCCGTGATCTCATATATCCAAAGCCGCCCTATTTATGGCAGCAAATCCCTTTCGTTTGATTCTGCAGTCCAAGTTTTAGTTGATGTAAATAGTGTTTCTCTGACGTGGGCGCAAGAAGCTCTATTCGTGGTATGCTTGACGATGAGGATCAAAAGTCCATACCGCCAAGGACTTGGCCAAAAACAGAAGATTATGAACGAGACCTTGGCGCAAGGGGAAAGCATATTCTGACAGGCGGAGGAAGTCGTCGGCAAGGACTCAATCGGTGGTACGACTCCACTATTCAGGTAAGCATAGCAAGATTGCACTATCGAAGATCCTGTTAATTATCAAAGAAAATCAGCTAATTGTCGGAAGCAGCGGTACGAATGGTTTGTGCATAGAGCATTCGCCGACGGAAGGAATTGTTATCGTCAATATGGCAGAAAGTGCACTTCGATATGAACGAGAAAATAGGGAACGAACATTGGTATGAACATCAAATGAATATGTTTCAAATAAAAATTTCGAAAATTTCAAATAAAAAATTTTCTACTTAGAAAAAAGCGCACGACAGAATTGTTTGATGCTGAATGTTGAGATTTCATGCTTTTTGAACATTATTTTATATGCTCATTGCAGATATATACAGCAGAAAGAGAAATTTCCGCGAAACCGCTTACTTGGCATGTGGACAAAGCTGCCCTGGAACTGCTAGAAATGCAGAAGACAACACTGGATGAGTATGTTTCAAATAAAGATCTTTTACTAAGAAAGAAGCGCACGACAGATTTACTGATGCTAGACTGACGAGTAAGCAAAATTAGGAACCCAATCTTTTATTTTTGAAAGTGAATTGTGGACTTCAAAGGCGTTGTTATATCCAGGAGGTGAAAAATCGTTCTATTTCTATCATGGAAAACATCGGTTATGACTTTGACAGTTTTTTTCTGGCTTTTCTGAGTCGGCTTTGTTGTTTGAAAGTTTCAAAACTCAATGTTCAAATTCAACTTCTAAAGCCTAGAAGAAAGCAGCATCTTGCTAAAAACAGATGTCTA